CCAACCCCCAGAAGCCGGGAGAGAGACTAGGGATTGATTCTCACTCACAGCCCCTGGAAGGAACAAACCTGCCAACAGCCTGACCTCTGAACTTCTAGCCTAGAACCGTGAGAGAATGTGTTTCCGTGCCTTCCGCCTCCCAGCTTGTATTCCGTGACATCAGCCCCAGCAGACAAGCGCGCTCAGCACACAGCGTGGAGAAGAGGCCTGGCCTCCCTCTACAGTGAGGTTTCCTACCCCTCTTCTTGCTTTCTCTCAAATACAGGCATTGCCTGGGTTTTTTGTTTTGCTTTGGCCGCACCACACAGCATGTGGGATCTTAGTTCCCAGACCAGGAATTGAACTCACGCCCCTGAGATGGAAGGGCTGAGTCTTAACCACTGGACCACCAGGGAAGTCCAGATCATTGCCCCGTTGCTGAGTATCTATTTAAAAGTGAAGTAAATCACAGCCAGTCTCCAGAGAGCCGGGTGTAGGCATCACCACGGGGTCAGTAGACGGGGTGCAAACTGGCGACTTGTCATGTCTCCAGACAAAAGGCAGGCGGCCCAGATTCCAGCGTTAGAACAGCGAGGAGGAGGAGGAGAATCCTGCCTCTCCCCCTGGATTTCAGGGCCCAGGACAGCGACTGGACCTCTGGCTGGATGGGAAAGGCTGGGGCGTGAAGAGGGTATTCTTCCCTCACCTCTGCCCAGAAGCCTGGCCCCAGAAGCAGGGGACAGACGACATCTCACGGGGCCCCCAGAGGGAGCGCACACCCCGGCAGGAAAGGGGGGAGAGGAAGGGGTCTCGGCCAAGACCTCACACAGTCACCCACCGGGGAGGCGGCCGTGGTCAAACCCACGGCACCTTTATAAGGATTCTTCTCAACACAAGTCAGAGTTCGAGTCCAACTCTGCTCAAAGGGCCAACAGCACAGTCTTGAGTATTTTCAAAATATTAGTCTACCAAGATGCTAAGAAGGATTATTCATGAAAACATTCTATATTCTGAAAGGGATATAGATATACTGGATTAGACCAAGTGAAACATTATTTCCTGACTGTAGGACTCTGCAGTGACTTTGATATGACATGGAACTTTATAAGCCTCCCCGAAAAAGAAAGAAATACAAGCACTTAAGTGTGGAATCTGAAACATGCCGCAAAAGAACAAATCTATGAAACAGAAGCGGACTCACAGACACCGAGAACAGACCTGTGGCTGCCAAGGGAGAAAGATGGACTGGGAGTCTGGGATTCGAGGATGCAAACCATTACACAGAGAATGGGTAAACAACAGGGTCCTACCGTGCGCACAGCACAGGAAACTATATTCAGTATCAGAATGGAAAGGAATGTGAAAAAGGAATTATATATAATAGTTCTGCTGTATGGCAAAAACTACCATAACACTGTAAACCAATCACGTTGTTCAGTTGCTAAGTTGTGTCCGACTCTTTTATGACCCCAAGGACTGTAGCCCACCAGGGCTCCTCTGTCCGTGAGACTTTCCAGGCAAGAAAACTGGAGTGGGTTGCCAATTTCTTCTCCAGAGAATCTTCCCGACCCAAGGATCAAACCTGCGTCTCCTGCAGTGGCAACGAGATTCTTTATAGCTGATCCATCAGGGAAGCCCCAAATCAACTACAAATAAAATACTTTCTTAAAAAAGAGAAATATCAAAGACTCCAATTTTATTGCATTGCCAACCTTTCATCGTCTAGTTCTTTTCACAACAGCCAATCACATCTCTGAGAACAACTTACTAAAGGAAGTAATTGGATAATGCTGGTAATGAGCTTTGAAGGATGAATACTTTTAGAGACAAAGCAGTAAATCAGCTGACAATCAAACCAGCCAGCCAGATGTCCATGACTCCCCTGCAGAGAAAGGAAAAGTTAGTCCCTGCCATTTTCTCCTCACAGATCTCTACCTGGGGCAGAAAGAGCTGGAGTCCATAAGAAACATCCTCCAATTCTCCCACATCAAGGAATCGAACTACCATTTAAAGATCGGTGAGGCAGTAAAAGTAAGAAATTATTCCAAGCAGAAAACCTGAAAAAGCTTAAAACGTGATTCGCTTTCCTGATAAGAGCGATGCATGGAGGTGACCATAAATTGTTGCTAACAGCCTTCTACAGGCCTATCTTTGGTGCAACAGGATCAGAAGGCAAACAGAAACTGAATTCTTAGCTACTGGCCCATTAAAGATGCCTTCCAGCCTAGGGCACACAGCTAAGAACCCTCAACAAGATAGTCAAACAGGTTTTATCGGGTCCTTAGTCCATGCGGTCATAGAATTATGGACTTGGAAGCTTTCTCAGTCTAACCTTCTCACTTTAAAGTTAAAGAAAGTTAGCCCAGTGGGGCTGAGAGGTACTGAAGGTCACCTAGCGGGTTCATGGAAAACCAGGAACAGAAAAACCTCAGCTTCCTGTTTACACTCCGCGCTCTTATCACTATATGATTGTCCTGTTACTGCATTACTGTATCCCCAAGGGCTATAGGAGTCAAGTAAAATCAAGGAGAACCTGTCAAGTGTCTGGGAGCAGGCAGGTGCTAAAAGAGCAGCTGGGACAAGTTCTTAGTATTTAGGAAATGGCAACCCACTCCACTATTCTTGCCTGGGAAATCTCATGGACAGAGGAGCCTGGCAGGCTACAGTCCATAGGGTCGCCCAGAGTCAGACGTAACAGAGTGCACACATATACACATACATACCAAGTGCCAGGTGCTGAGCTAAGTTCGTAAACCTCAGCTGGCTTGTAGAAAACCCCCTTGAAGTGTGTGCCTTTGCATCAGTGAGGATGTCAGCTTTCTGCAAGTCTCAGGAACGTGCTCAAAGTCACACACAGCAAATGGCAGGGCTGCCAGGAGCCCTCAGGGCTCACCACAAGGCCAATGCTCTTGACTGCTACCTACAGGACCCTCTGAGCCAGTCCTGAAATCAAGAGCATCACTTTAAAGAAACAAGACTGCAAAACAACTATACTCCAAAAAAAAAAAAAAAAACCAAAACACTAATTAAAAAAACATAAATTTACCTTCCTCAGCAAGGGAGAAAATAAAGAATATATTTTTTCAGATTTCCGGTAGCGTAAGGATACTCATGCAACCAAAGGCATGAGTAAGAGTGACCCCATGAGGTCAGTTTGCCTCTGTCCTTATTAGGCCTCTGCGAGTGTCCACCTCAACCCTCTGTAGTCTTTTCTTTTTCTCTTGCCAGAGTGAGAGTAAGCCTACAGTTTCTTCCACAAGAAAACACCTGAAGAACCATTTCTATATTCGCCTGGATGCTGATGCACAATTACATGCTTACTTACAAAAGTACAGTAATTTCTGTAATGTTTTCCCCATAAAAAGACACCATGGCCATTTGCCTGTGTAAATGAATACAAGTCTATATTCTAACTTTCACAAGAGCATGGTGGACCACCACAGGGGTGCACACGCTATGAGGTGAGACTTCTACAATGGTGCCAACATCTGACTATCCTAACCGGTTCTGCAGTAAACTTGCTGGTAGAATCATGTCTGTTCCACAGTTTCATTACTGAGGCACCCCACAAGTGGAACTGCAAAATCCTTTTTCATTTTGAGAGATACCACCTCTAGAAGGTTGTGCCAAGGCTCCACTGACCCGCTGTGTGGAATGTGTTAGCAGATCCCTTACTAAACAACCAGAGAAATGCCATCCACACAGACAACTGTCTGTTCACACAAGGGAAACACCCAAGCCAACTCAACCCAAGTCAGACATCCCCTAGCCACCAGCCTTTCTCAGCAGGGCCACGATTATAGTCTTTTTAACTGATCTTCCAAGTTCAGTCTTGCCCACCCCAACCATCCTTCCTCCACAAGGCAGTCAAAAATATCTCTCTCAAATATAAATCTGATCACGTCCCCCTGAGCCTAAATGTTCCACTTCTCCAGATCCTACAAATGACCGCTCCAGCCCTACTGATGCTCTGCCACCCCTTCCATTTCTTCCAGAACATTCTTTCCCACTCAGGACCTTGGCAAGCCCTGCTTTCGTTTTCTGGAATCTCTTCCTTGCCTCTCCCCCTGGTCACTCCTCCTCTCCTTTCAGGAACTTCTCAGAGAAACTTTGCCATTCACACACATCTTGCAGACTAAGGAATGTCCCCCACTGTTAACATGCACAACACTTAATATTTTACTTTCTAAAATGTATTAAAATGTTAGTCTGTCTGTCACCTCTGATTGACTCTAAGCTCCATGAGGACACGCCGAGACCCAGCATGGTGCCTCTGACGCAGCAGACACCTGATGAACGGCAGAAAAGAGAGAGGGAGGGCGGAAAAAATGAAGGGAGGAGAAAGAAGCAGGAAAAGGGTGGGGGGGGGATTTAGATTTTCCACTGAGATTTTCCAAAGAGTGGGAAAAGGGGAGGAAGACCTTACAGCCACGAGTGTCTAACTAGAGATGGGAGTTCTTTTTTCCCCTCACATTTCCTTTAGATTCAGCCACTGGATAAATACTGATCAGAACCTGTCATGTCCTAGGCACTGCTGCAGATAGCAGAGAAGGTGCTTGGCCTTCTGGAGGCCCTGTCTCAGGATGGGAGTGAAAAGAGAGAATAAACAATGAACACAGACCTGAACAGGACAGCCAGGGTGAAGAAGCCTGTAACCCAGTAGGCCACGCAGAACGAGTGTGCACACTGCTACAGGCGGTCAGGGCAGGCCTCTCTGAGCAGGTGCCATGTGAGGACGTGGCACCAAGAACGCAGGCCAGGGCAAAGCGCACGTGGCTTTTAAAAATAAGATGCAGGCGGCTTTACTCTGAAGCTGACGGACAACGCCCACCTGGCAGAAAGAAACCGACGTCCTTGGTACGTGGGTTAGACTCCTAGGGCTCTGACAACACCGTGCCTCAAGCTGAGCCAGCTGACACCACGGTCACTTCTTGTCTGACAGCGCTGGAGGCCAGAAGTGTGAGGTCAAGGTGATGGCAGGACCGCACTCCCTGGGAAGGCTCCAGGGAAGACGGTGTTCCATGCTTCTCTCCCCGCTAGGGCCCAGGTGCTCCTCGGCTCGTAGACGCCACACCCCAGGCCTGACCCCAGTGGCGCCTGACCGTCTTCACAAGGCCCTCCCGTCCTCTGTGCTCCTGTCTCCAGGCCCAAACGCCCCCATTTACAAGGACTCTGCTCACGCAGGATTAGGGCCCACCCCCCAGACCTCAATTTACCTGGACCACCTCTGTCAAGACCCTCTCTCCATACGATTGAATAAGCTGAAATTCTTAGAGAGGAAATGAAATCTATCAGCTGGAGATTAAATTTAAAATGTTTAAAAGGGTTTAATGGCATCTAATAGAACATTATCTCAAATAATAAAGTCTCCTTTAATGTGATTGCTAAAATGTGAGGTTTATAAATAAGGAGATTAAGAAGCTGGGATTATAAATTTAAAGAAAAAGTAGAGTATGACTCTAATAAACTGATTTTTTTTAAGAAGTACTGAATAATTTTTATACCATCCAGGATGCCACAAAACTCATATTAACACAAAGAAACACTGCCCTCCCCCGCCCCCCACATGAACCGCGAACTTCCAGATGTTCAAGCTGGATTTAGAAAAAGCAGAGGAACCAGAGATCAAATTGCCAACATCCAATGGATCATCAAAAAAGTGAGAGAGTTCCAGAAAAACATCTACTCCTGCCTTTGTTGCTGAGTTCTCTATAAAGCTACAAAATCTTACCAGCAGAATGTTAAGAAACTCCCTCTTCATACCCTCAGCAGCAAAATATATTGTAATTTCAAAATATTAATGACCTAGTTAACTTAATTTCCATTTCTTTGACTACTAGTAAGTGAAATTTTTCTAAAAATAAAAAAATGAGCTACAAAATTGTAATCACAACTCCTGAAGCTCCAGTCCTTTGGCCACCTGATGTGAAGAGCCAACTCACTGGAAAAGACCCTGATGCTGGGAAAGACTGAAGGCAGGAGGAGAAGGGGACGACAGAGGATGAGATGGTTGGATGGCATCACCGACTCGATGGACAGGAGTCTGTAAGAACTCCGGGAGACAGTGAGGGACAGGCCTGCCTGGAGAGCGGCAGTCCACAAGGTCGCGAAGAGTTGGACACGACTGAGCACCTGAACAAGAATAACGCACACGAGGGCCTGACATCAGCATCGCCTCACCCGGGTGGACAGGGTATCCCCCATCTCCCACCCACAGGGCTTGGGCTCAGATGGCCCTGGCTGCTGGCAGCTAAGGCGGCAAGAGAGGTCATGTCCTCCTCAGCTCGGGGGGGTGAGTGGCCATGATGGCCACATCCTGGGTCCAAGTGATGCGGAAGTCCTGCTGTTCCTGCTAATGGGCCAGAGCAGCAAAAACACCGAGCCCTAACTCCTCTGCCCTCGAGAAAGGTCAGCTCACAGCCTGCATTTTACGTTCACCCACTGCAACATCCAAGCAACTGTCAGAGCAGTTAAACGCAGGCTGACTTTAAGCCTTGAGAAGAGGGGATTAATCCTAACAAATCAGGTGGGCTGGGGGGGGTCTCTGCTGATGACCGGGTTGCGTTAACAGCGTGTCTCTGCACACAGAGGCCCCATCTTTATGGCTCTGCCAGGGCAAGGATAAACCCCAGGCTCGTAATGTCTCGCCCCGCAAGGCTGTGATAATCCTCGCCGTTGTCTCAGCTGAGCGAGTAACAGTGAAAATGGATGAAAAGTATATGTTTATGTCCTTCCTATTAAATTCACAGCTATAAACACAGAAGGCACTAAAGGTGATGGCGGCGCTGACGAACGCCTCCTTTTTGAAGAGAAGCAAGAAGGTTAAAACAACAAAGAGAAAGGCAGCAATTCCAGGTCCTGGGATTTGTCACCCAGCCTTCTCTCCGCTTTTGGCCCTTCCCTCCCCCTGCATCTAGTTTAACGTCAAAAATATACTTTGTGGGCAGAAGGAGACGCAGTGAAATCAGAACAGTTTTCTTTCTGGGCTGGAAGTTTAGTCTTAAGGTGACCTCAGAAGACTTCTGACAGCCTCCCTCTATCACCACGTGTCATACACATGTCATTACTGCACTGTCTGTGTCGTCCTGCCCAGGGGGACATTCCTGCGCGCCCCTAAGAGTTCTGAGGTCAGCGTCTGACTTAGAATTTCTCTGGTATTCTCAGAGAAAGAAAACATCCACAGTTGGGACGAGGGAGAGACACTGACCTTGGGTGTAAAATTTAAGTGGGTACCAAAACCTTCGATACTAAGGAGAGATAGTATTTTAATGCAATCCCTTTAAAAAAAAATCAAAGCATCAACTTATGGCTCTTATATTGGTCACCTATTTTTGTAAATAAAGTTTTATTGGAAATCCAGGGCTGGGATTAGAGTAAGGCAAGTGAGATGGTGGTTGGTGGTGGTGGTGGTTTAGTTGCTAAGTCATGTCCGACTCTTGCGACCCCATGGACCATATCCCCCCAGGCTCCTCTGTCCATGGGATTCTCCAGGCAAGAATACTGGAGTGGGTTGCCATTCCCTTCTCCAAAGGATCTTCCTGACCCAGGAATCGAACCCAGGTCTCCTGCATTGCAGGCAGATTCTTTACTGAGTTATGAGGAAGCGTGAGATAGTGAGGTAAGTAGTAAGGCAAGTGAGATAGTGTGGGACAATCACAGGGTCACACCCTCTTTTTTTTTTTACAATTTTGGTATTTTGTTTTCATGGATTTTGGTATTCTAAAAACATTATACAAAAGTACTATTTACATCTTTAGTATTAAAGCGAGTTTTCTGGCACCATTTGAAATTTATACTCTATACCCCTCACCCAAATCCCTGCCCCAACCAACTTTTCTGAAGTTCAGTCGGTTTTCTGATGGAGCCCACCATCCTGACTTTTCCGAAGTTCCGTTCTATTATAACTGACATTACCAACGTGCTCCTATTTACAAGCACTGTTCCAAAGATATTTCAAATGCATCCGTTTGCTCATTGAATTCCCTACTGAGTGTATAAACTGAGACACTGAGAAGTCAAGTGACTTGCCCCTGGTCACACAGCTCACAGAGGACCTGGGATCTGAACTCAGAGATTCCGGCTCTGCAACTGGCCTCAGCCACAGGTTCACTCTACACTTGTTTTTTTTTTCCCTTCTTCTCTTCCATTTCTAAACGTATTCCATCCACTTTCTCAGCACACAGTGATTTCTTAATCCAATTTACCCGGCTTTATGCTGATAAGTTATTTCTACTGTCAGACACAGATGGCTTTGCAGGAGACCAGCCAGCTAAGTGCACGGCCTAAGAATGCAATACAACTTGCTTTTCTAACCAGCTAGATTGGTTTACGCGGTGAGATAAATATTGCGCTAAGAGCAGCTCCAGCACATCGTGGGGAGAGAGATGTGGCCCCCATTCAGGCTGGCTGCGGGAGCTCCCAGCACCCTTCCTAGGGTGCTCAGGATGCAGTGGCTCGCGTCAGCGGCTCCTTTGTGTAAACTCTGGGATTCATGTCCTGCCTGCAGGCACTGAAGCGTGGGAAATGGCTGCCCAGGGTTGCCCACGTTTATGCGCTCTCTCCTTGAGTGGCTTCCACAGACGTTATCTCTTCTTGCAATCCCTGTTCCTTTTGGGGAGAAGGAAGGTTGTTGGCGATGGCTTTAGCACACTAATTACTAGTGGCGCCTTAGGAACAATTATTAAAAACCATCATTATCATCCTCACCACTAACCCTGATGGACCCGGAGTAGCTGGCAAAGCGGGTTCTCCCCGTGCCTGGGGCTCTGCTACATCACTGAAAAAGCTCCCAGGACTGTGTGGCTCACAGCGCAGCTGATGACACCCTGACCAGGGTCTCTGGTGATGTACAAATCAAGAGGCGCCTTTCTCAGATTAAAAACCACAAAATACCCATTTTTGGGAAGTCCCCATTCATCCTGACAGTGACTCTGCAGGAAAGGGCGACACTGTTTAAAGAGGCACAAGGACTTCAACTCCACCACTGACCAGCTCGGGTCTCTGAGCAGCTCACCCCACGCCTTGGAGGGTTGTTGAGGGCATCCGACTCCCTATTCCATGCCGCCACCCACACCTGTGAATGTGGCTGCAGGAAACATCATGAAGGGGCTCACTGATGCCATGTGAAATTCACGCTCACAACTCGCAGATGCACACAACTTTCAGGCACCCACCAAGAATTTCCAGGCCAAGTGCACCTCTCTGGTTAAGTTTACCTTCCCAGTTTCTCAATGACTCTCTCACACCTTCCGTGTCCTCAACCCCACCTATGTTTCTCGCCCGCCGTCTCCCAGCCAGGGCCCCAGCTGACTCTCCAGGAAGAAAGTGGAAGCAGTAAGACAAGAACTCCACTGTGATGTCCACCACTTTGACCTGCAGGCAGACACCCATCTCTGCTTAAAACGGTCAGTTCTCATCAAGAAAATGTGATTCAAAACTGTAAAGCAATTACCCTTCAATTAAAAATAAATAAATTAACAAAAAATAAAAGAAACTGTGATTATTCCTGTCCTCTAGGTGTTTCCCCCTTCCTGAGAGTTTAGCTCCACTCTTTCCTGTGACATCATTATTTCCCTTCTAACTGGATCATTGGAAGAAAAGAAAAAAGGAGCATCTCCCATCTTAAAAAAAAAAAAATTCCTCCTGCTTAATCCCAGGAACCCCTGCAGACATCACAGCATCTCCCGGATCCCCTCCACATCAGTGACCTAATTCTGTGTCCTCCTGCTGTTTGCACTTCCTCAAAGCCTGTTTCCTTCCTCACTGACTCCAGCTGGACGCCTGTCCCCACAAGTGAACACGAGTCCTCAGCGGCCCAGGGGGCCCCTGTGCTGACCAGGGCTGAGAGCCCGTTTCTGACGGGCTCACCGCCCCCCGATTTCCGAGCACCCTTCAGTGTATCTACTCACACACTCCTTGACACCCTTGCTCGACGTCCAGCCACCGCGATCCTCTGTCCGTCCTACCCAACGGCTGGTGCTCAGCGCCCCGCGCCCCGGGCTCCCAATATCACTGCCCGCGCCGCCCATGGTGGGACAGCAGAAAACCTTCTGGGTTCCGCCGTAAGCTCCTCCTAGTTCATTTCATCTAGCTCCGTGACTGTATCATTTATATGCAGTGGCTCCCCAACTGTTACTGAACCGCATCCTCCCGACACGGACTTCACGTCCCTGCCTGTATGCGGGAGACTCCAGATGGCAGGGCGCGGAGAGCTGAGACGGCTCCATGTCCCGAACTCCATGGCGCTCACATGCATGTATTCACTCAGGAAAATTCATCCTTGGCG